CTTCCTTTTTTTTCTTGTAACAGGAATATAGGTCATATTACCAAACCAGTGGATACTGACTGAGTCGTTGGGGGAGTTGACAGATACGATCTGTGAAATCCTAGCCAGTGGTTTAGTAAGTCCCAAATGCCTGTTTCACCTGTCAGAAGAGCTCACACAGCTGCTGTACAAAGTTGGCATTAGGGAACATATGCTTGTTCCTCAGCTGCTTCAATATGAAGTGCAAAATCTTGGGCCTGAACACCTATGATGCAGACAAACAGCTGTGGGGCTTGATATATTAGAGTCCCCAGCTGTCTGCCACTTCCCTTTTGGACATCTGTTGCGTAATGTTCAACAGAAAGGGATGTACATGTGAGCATACATGACTTCAGCTCATCAATTTATTTCAATTCAATTTCAACTTGGTACCTGGGCTGTCAGGGCTGCCTCTTGAGCATGCACTTTTCTTATGAAGGAAGAGGATGAAAATTCTCTTCTGATTTCCCAGAGATTGCCTAATAGATTGCTTTTGCTCTGTCCCACCTCTTGGTAATTCTTTAAAGCTAGGATGCCAGGTCCTGAACTTATGCCACCAAGATGCAGAAGGTAATTTCTTCTGCCAATGCTGAGGAAAACGCAATATTCACCTGGGATAGTTACAAACTACTAGAATTGGCACAGACAGATTGCCCAAACACACGTCTGTATCAATCTGCAGACCAGGCCATGTATTTTGTTGGTTTGCTCCACTAACAATCTGGTAACACTTCTAACAAATGTTTCTTTCTTGTTCTTTCTTCTCTAATGGCTGCAATGTTTTTTTTATTTAAAGCAATGGTCACTTCTTACTTGAGAGACAGCTTAAGGTAATCAATACTTCATTCCTAGGCAAAAAAATCTCAACTTGCAATAGTGCAAGTACATGGCCTCTGCAATGCCCTTCAGGGCCGTATTTGATTATTCTTTGAGGCAAAAGAAACTAAATATATCTGTACATGATCTTTTGATTGTCAAAACAGTTTGTACAAGCTTAAACTGCTCAACTAGGTTACAATATAGTTTATGGTGAGGTTGTGCTTTCAGGCTGCAAGCTTTCAGAAAGACCATTACAAATTCATGCAAAACACAGAAGTACAGAAACTCCTTCCCAGAGCAGTGCTGCATTCTTCCATGCTGCTGAAGAATTGTCTCCTTTATGAGAATATCTTTTCAAATTATAGTTTGTCTGGATATTTTTTGTTATATTTCCCATACAGCTTAATACTTCTATTTCTCTGTCCAGCTTTTAGAAATGATTCTGAAGTGTTTACTTTAAAGAATGTATTTTTTTCTATTATTTTAAACTTCATTCAGTGTTTTGACACCAGTCACCTGAGTTCTTAGTTATAGACTTCTCCCTTCCCCAATCTCCTCCCCCGCAAAAAGCTATGCTGCATCTTCTTGACTCTGTTTCCTTAAGGCAAACACAAGCAAGTGCATCCTCAGAGGACTGAAACGATGAGGCCTCTTCCTTTTAAAAATGGACACAGAGATACCAATACAAGCTGATTTGATTTAGGCTTGTGCTTTCCTTCTTTAGTTTTAGTTTGATTTCATGGCAAACCAGCCGACAGGGTGAAGGAAAATGCCCCCTTCTGAGCAGAAAGAGCAGTAGTTAACACCACTTGAGCTAAAGTGGCTCTGGAAATCAACCTAACTAGTGCAATTTTAGGTCTCTGGTAGCCTCTAACTGAAAGAACTTTTCCAGAACAGTTAACACCATCCAGCCCTGTGCAAGCTGCTTGGAAAAGGTACAGGAGAAGATTGCCACAACTCCTTAAAATGAAAAGTCCAACGGGCCCTAACTTGTTATGGGATCATACAAGAAAAGGGGGAGTGCAGGGAGGCACTAGAAATGCACAGTATTTGAGTGCTTCGAGGTTTTTACTAAATATGACTGTAAAATGTAACTTAAAATACAGTTTAGGCATAAAATAGATGATCACAGATGTTTAAAATCGACCAAACCAATTGAACAGCATGTCTACGTGGAAGACAAAGAGCAACATGTTTTTTGCTAAAGGTGTGTTGGGAGGGAAGAGTATTTGAAAGGACTCCTTTTTATTATTATTATTATTAGGATCCCCTCTGTGGCCTGACCTTTTTGGTGGTGTTTTTTTTAAAATGCTAGCTTGGCCACCTTGGCTCTTCACGGAGCTCGCAGAGGCTCCTCTGTGATCCTAGAGGATGCTAAAGGAAACAGGATCACAAAAGGATGGAAAAAGAGTCACCAAAGGAACTGTGGTAGAGTCATGACTTATATGAGTGGCCTCGGGCAGGGAGAAACCTGTGCCTCTAAGGACACAGAGCCCGACATTTGGCACCCTCCTCATGGGGCCACTGAGCTGGCAGGAGGGCCGTTGCCCGTAGCGGGGGCGACGCTAACGGTTAACGGTCGTCGCCGCGCGGCCGTTACCGTTGGTGGCGGGGGAGAGGGTAACGGCCGCGCGGAAGGAGCCGCGGGGCGAAGGCAGGAAAGGAAGAGGGAAGGAAAGAAGGAGGGAGGGAGGCGGGTGTGAACTACACTTCCCGGCGGGCGCCGCAGCGCCGGCGGGCGCCGCTGACGGCGGGGGCGGGCGGACCGCGCGCGGCCGCCTCCCGCAGCCGTTGGCCGCGGCCGTTGGCGGGGCGCGCTCGGCCAACGGCCATGGCGCTCTCCTCGGCGCCCCTCAAGGTCTGCATCGTGGGCTCGGGCAACTGGTGAGTGCGGCCCCGGGCCGCCCCGTGCCCGGGCCTTGCGGCCGCCCCGCGGCCAGGAGGCGACGGAGGGGGCTCGGTCATGCCGGGCTGTGCGGGGCCCCGCGCGGGGGGTGTTGGAGGCAGCAGGATCTTCCTGTATGAAGTTATTTGGGGGTGGTTTTGACCTGGCGTTTGTTGGGTGGTTCCTCTGTACCAGCTGGCATGGACATTGGAGGCACTGGACGCTTTTTTTCAGCAGGTCTCTGCTCACTCGGTGCTGCTGAAGGGCTTCATGAGCAAGCCCACCGCCCTTCCAAAGTGACAGTCAAATGTCTCGATTTATTTCATTTTATTATTTTATTTTATGTGCTGTTTTCAATTTTCTAAGAAGAGTAGCAAGACACCAAGTTATTCAGAATACTTTTTTTTTTTTTTTTTTTCAATAGCTTGTGCTGAGGCATACGGAAGGCTTGAGACAAGGTTTTCTATTGTCTCCCACAAGCTTATAGTTAGGCTTAAATGCGCTCATGGTCTCACTGTCATGTCCAGTGAAAGCAAGTGTTTTCCTAATCATTTCTCTGAGAACAGTGCCGTAAGCATAATCCTCTTTTGTCCCACTTTCTCAATTTCTCCATCATCCCTATTCATAATTTTTGCAGTGGATCTTTATATACAGGGTGTAAGTTAAGGACAAAGTATTATGTAAATGTATCTTCACAGTTTGCCACTCTAATTTCTAATGCTAAGCATATATTATTTCTGATGACATTCTATTTTGTATTTGTCAGGCAGAGACAGTATGTTATATGTTCAGTTAACATTACAGAGGAGTTTGGTGTTCCAAGAACAAGGTGCTACAGGTTGTTAAACAAGACTTCAGTCGTTTGCCAAAGCGATCTTAGGCTTGATGCCCACCAGATGCAATTGGCTTTTGGTGCTGTTTTGCAGACTTCAACAAATCAGCAACAGCAGAGTTATGTTTTTTCTTCCCAGCGGCCTGTTGAATTCATGGCTGGTGCCAGTTCCGTGCTGCAGCTCTTGTGCACCTTGCTGCAGCTTGTAAGGTGAACAGGGCAATTGTGGGCAGTGCAGTGTGTATCAAAAGGAAGTTATGTAGTTAGGCCTGTCAGGCTTCTAGGGGTGTTGATGTCATTCTTCCGCATTTGAAACCCAGTGAGAAGTTGTGCAAATAGTTTAACTGTGTTTGTGGTTGAGCTGTTGTGAAATTGGCGTGCCAGAAGCAGGAAGATTCATGGAGGTTACCTGCTAGCTATGCCCTTGTGCATGTGTGTTTTGTTTTCACTTCACTGCATCACTTGTATAACAAGAAAAGCTCCACTAACTCCACTCTAAAGGGATGGATGATCTTTTTTCTTTCCTTTGGGGATAAATTTATTTAAATAACTGATTTCATATTTGATAGCAAGTGGCAAAAATTATGTGGCAGGATAGATAAAGCAGAAGTAATAAAAACATTTTAAATAGCAATGATGTGTAACAGCTTTGTTTCTGAAAGCAATTCTTGGAGCGGTAAATATCCTCTGCAAATCCAAGGGATGACAGACACCAGATCCTGACTGAAGACAACAGTTTCATTCAGCAGTATATGGAACCATTAAACTAACAGGACTCTGTTAGCCTAAGTGCATATTTGTGCACAAAAGTGTTTTGCTCCGTTGGGGCCTGTTTTCCTAAAACAGAAGCCTGTGAGGTTCAAAAGCATGAAATGAGAAGGAAAGCAAAGCACTTACATGCTTACAATTGATATTTTCAGATTATATATTTTTGCAGCCTGGATGTCAGGAGTAAAACTGATACCTGAGCTGTCAGTATGTAAGTAGTTGAACCAAGTGGGACTTTGCCTGCTTAGCAAAGAGACTTAGTGAAGAGACTCTGTAGAGACTATGCAACTCCACAATCCACAGGAGACTCGCGTGTTCTGTGTGAGAAGGCGAGTTTGTCCTACAAGTGCCAGTAACAGTATGACTGCCCTTGCTTTCTTGCAGCCCTTTAGCCTACATCCCAGCCCCCCCCCAAAAAAAAAAAAACAGGCTAAAGGAGCTTGGCAGGACAAAGACAGTTTAGAATGGCTGTGCTAATCTTTTCAGATGATAAACTACCTCCAGTCAAACTTGTTTGGTCGGTTTGCTGAAGGAAAGGTGACCTTAAGTTTTTTGGCAGAGGTCTCTTAACACCTCATGGAAAATCATGGGACAGGACAGATGCTCCAAGAGTCACAGAAGAGCAGGAGCTGTGCTGTTTTTTTGCTCCTTGTGTCTCTCTGTAGCTGCTCATCTGGTGGATACTTGATTGTATTCAAAACTTAAAGGCAGGGCACTCCTCAGCAGGAAGAGGGACTTTGGGGATAGGCCTTGAAGCCTCGATTCACTTTAAATTGATGCAATATAATCTGATGAGAGGAGAGCAGACGAACAGTGATGCTCAGTTGGTAGAGGTGAATAGCAGATGGTGATCTTTGAAGGGCAGAAGCTTTTCGAGTGTGTTTTAGGATTAATTAGAGATTATGAGGGAATATCAGTCTGATTTTTTTCCTGTGTAGCTGAACTGCTGCAGACACCAAGTATCACAATCCAGGTCCTGCTAGAACTGTTACTGCTACAACTGAACTGGCAAGAACTCCAGTTCCTTTGCCTTGTGATGTGCCAGTATACTGCACGAGCCAGAAATCCCAGTGAATGATTCCAGACTGCATAGCTCTGTGATGAAGAAGAGAACATGTTGATTGGATTGGCAGGTGTTGGGAACTGATATTTCACCTTCCTTAGAGAAGTCCTGGACTCAGAGTCTGTTGCTTGACAGTGTCTAATTCATTCATACAACAGCTCTTCCAACATAAAACGAAATGGGAATCAAGAGAAGCTGATCTGGAGAATATTTTGAATTCAGAGACGAAGACTAGCCAGTTCTTCACTTTTCAAAGACCTTTACATGTATTATTTTTTAAAGAGAGACTACTGAGATGTTTCAGTATTAAATAATAATATAATAAACATTATAAGAAGTACACGATGTTAAACTTTATGATGACATGCCGTTTGAAAATCCCAGTTGGACAGTCACTGAATCAGTTATTTCTGCCTTTACCAACTCTAAGCATACAAAAGCTTAGTGCAGTTGAAAGCTGAAGACAGTGATTTTCCAAAAACCAGACTTTATATTTGTGTATGAATCTGCAGTAGTGAATTTGCTTTTTTCAAAGAACTCAAAACACCTTCTGCTAAATAACACTCTGTGGTGTAGTAAATTAAATACTTTGCATTTGTGAAGTTCTGAAATCTGGAAGATTGAACTGGTGAGTTTCCCACCACTGCAGGGGAAACCACAGCATGTGCATGTGGTGGTCTAGAGTATGAGCTTGGTGAGAGATGACCGACTTAGCTGGGGCTTAGTCAGTGAGCGTTGTTTAACGTAACCTCCGAGGCTCGACGTGCATGAGGTGTCTCTTCAGGCAGTTTGGCAGAGAGATGTAATCTAATGGCCAAAATGTACTTGCAATCTAAATTCAGTTGCTTCATTTCCTCATTCAATTTTTTTTAAAAATAATTTGACGTCGAGTCATGTGGGTGGTTTCCAGGTTGCATTAGTTGTGACCAGGATATTTATTCTGAAAAACTATTGGGGCTTCTGTATCACCCCCTCACCCAGGAAGTTTTGCAGGGTGCAGTGCTGTTAGAGAAATACTAGCCTTCTAAGACATGCTGTTTCTATGGTTTAGCTGAAGATCTACTTCAGATATTGCATTTTTTTTCTGCCACTACTTAGAAAGTAACCTTAGGAAGGAAGGCCTGTGATTGCAGACATATTTCATATAGCCCAGTGAGTTGTGTCATATGTAAAGTTCTTATGGCAGAATGAATCTGCTTGCTTTACATGCCAGCCATGAGTTTATTACAAGCAAAATTGTTAATAAATTTAGGAGAGTGTTCTGTGTCTAGGTATGTTTGTAAAGTCAAAGCTCTCCCACCTTCTAAGAAAGTGTGTACAGCATTTTCCCTTCCTGCTCTTAATGTACCAAGTATTAGAAAGTCTCAGTAGCAAAAGTTGTAGCAGAAAGAAGGAAGCAAATATGCAGAAATGTGTAAACTTCAGGTCAGTATTTGGGAATATCTTTATCATATCTTTCTAATCTTTTTGATCTGCTTAGTTGATTATCAGTAATAATGAAGTAATCATGACTGTTTTTTGCCTGATCCAAGAAAAGGGAGTTAGATTAATACGCTTTATTAAATTGCATCTTTCCCTTGTCTCTAGCATCCAGGCTGCTGGAATGGATAGTTGTGTTTTTCCCTCTTATGTGTAGCTTCAGTAAGTCTGAGTAGTTTTGCTATTGCTTAGAGATTTGAGTAGTACAAGTAAAATAGATAACAATCCTCCAGGCTTCATTGTGCTGTTCTTGGAGAGAAAATGAGGCTAAGAGCGATGGCATTGTCAGGCTGCAAGCTCAGAGCATACCGTTTCAACACTTAAATTCTGTGAGCTTGGCAACATGACCATACACACCATTTATGTGAGATGTAAATGCTCCCTGCCTTTAAATTCCTGTCAGTATTTGCAAAAATGGATGGCTCAGTCATCTTTGCAAAGAAAACTTCTTCTTTGTTAAAGATGAAAATAATAAAATGAGATTATGAATAGAGAATGAAATAATAGTATGTAACTTCTACCACTGGATTGAACATATAATCCCTTTCATATGTGCGAATAAAATTACCCACATTCCCACTGGATAGCCAGTAAAAAGCTTAAAGAAATATAAAAGTTTTTGATAAATGTTTCAGTCCAATATATTCTAGTTATATCTCTTTGAAAGAAAAGAGCAGGCATGAGTAACTGCTGTATTTTTTTCTACTCTTTTATACTGGATCAGAGAAGTTAAAAACTATTTAGTTCAGTAACATGTGGATTTCTGTTTATTCTAGAACGACATTATATATTTTTTAAAATATATATTTTTGCTTTCTTTTCTGCAGGGGTTCTGCAGTTGCCAAAATAATAGGCAATAATGTAAAAAAAGTGCAGAAGTTTGCTTCTACAGTGAAGATGTGGGTGTTTGAGGAGAATATTAATGGGAGAAAACTGACAGATATCATAAATAATGAACATGAAAATGTAAAATATCTCCCTGGATACAAGCTGCCAGATAATGTGGTAAGGCTCGGAAGATAAATCTGATCTAGTTCTGGAGTTGCGGGGATTCTGCTCATGCTGTGAATGGAGGTAGAAATTTGTTTTGCTACCATCTTCAGGTTTTATCGTATTTCAAACAGTATATTATTTTGTTGAGATCAAAATTTGGAACAAATAAAATTACTGAAGTAGGTATATTAAACGTGGTGGTGGGTGGTGGTGGTGAATCTGGCCCCAAAAGCATTATAGGCAAAGACTGCAGCAGCTGACAATTCAGCAGCAAATTCTGGGCAGGAAAAACATGAATTGCCATGGAGAGCAGCGTGGTCTGTAGCATTAAAGGTGAAATTCATGGTGTTTCTGCTGGTTATGACCTACTCATTGATGTTGGCTCTTTTTGTCAGTAGGTTGAACTTCTTGCCAGATATTAAACCTCACTGTTATTTTAAAATGGACATCACATGTTAGAAATAGTGGAGTCTAGCAGGTCATTTGGAAATAGGTCCTCTTTTTAAAGGGTAAAAAAAATATTAATACACAGAGAGTACAAACTAATGGGTATAAAAAGGAGTAGAGGAGAAATCTGAGTGTACAAGGAAAAAGGTAAAGAAATTACTTTTCAGCGTGCAGCAGTATATCAAATTTGAAAATATTTTATCAAAGAGAAGGAAGCTGCTTTCATTTTTGTAACTGAAAATATATGCTTAAATTTTAAGGCACATGTTGGTTTTTGATTCTTTGTAATAATAATTTGTAGCACTGTATAGAAGACCAAAATGATTTTTTTTACATATTTGACAATGCATGTGAACAGTGTTAATTTTTAAAATAAATGATGTGGCTTTTCTCTGCCGTAACTGTACAGGTTGCTATCCCGAACCTTAATGAAGCTGTGCAGGATGCAGACTTGCTGGTGTTTGTCATTCCTCATCAATTCATTCACAAGATCTGCGATGAAATCACTGGACGAGTACCCAAGAAAGCTCTTGGTATAACGCTCATAAAGGTATAATAAATGCTGTATGTCAATACTGAGAACATTTTGTGGAATCATCTAAAACCAGATGGTTTAGAATTTGATAGCAAAAGTCTGTGACTCTCCCATTAAACATTCTCTGAAATATGACTGGAATTTCGCAGCCATTAGTGGATTGTTATACAGTGTGTTATTTTAGGTTAGTGCTTGTAGTAGGAGGAAAACGAGGCTGTTCACAAAGCTTCCTTTAAAAGGAAAGGGGAGGGAATGTGTTTTGCACCACCAAGTTTTCCAATCTTCTACTTGTTTCCAAATGCATCATTAGGTGGAGAGCAGAGCACAAGCATAATGGTCTGGTTGTTAATGCACATCCCACACGCACAGCTGATCGTTTTAAGAGCTGCCGAGAGAATCCCGTGCGATTGAGTAAGAGTGCTCTTGTTCATGTCAAAGACTGTGTTGTAACATGAGAGACTGTTCAGCACGATTGAAAAGACAAAACAGTTTAAGCATGGGAGCCAGGAAAGGGTACATGTGTCGAAAATAAGGGTGTTTCACCAGACACTTCGGTAGTTTTGGTGGCAAGAGAATTCTTTTATGTGGTGTGTTTCTCTCCATAGCCCCTTGTGTGCTTAGCTGCAAAAGATGAGCTGTTCCCGTGAGCTTCAGAAGATGCTCCTTCATTGTTGCTTTGCACTTAGCTCAAGCTCAAGATAAACTTTATTCCGTAATACTTCGATTTGCTCAATATGAACTATGTTCAAATGTCTCTAATCCTAGGAATAAGTGAAAACACTTGAGTAAGTGAGGACTTGTCTCAGCATCTCCAAATTCATAATTCAGGCCCATATTCCTGTTGGAATACTGCGTAAGGTGTTTTAATGGAGTCTTAATTCATGAGTTATATTTAAAACAGGGGGAGCATTTGTCTTTAATAATAATGTAAAAATCCATATTCTGTCCAGTGTATGTAAAATTAGAGTGTAGTAACACCTGCCATGCAAAGCTGAACTGATGACGAGGCAGCCTCCCACTGTTGCACTGCATCTCTGCATCAGTAGGTGATCTTTTGAAAGAAATTGTGCACGGCCTTTCAATTTCTTTGCAGGAGAATGCAAAGTACATGTTGTCAGCTTTCATCAAAAGGCGTAATTGCATATGTATCTCCTAAGATGAAAGGACAGAGATCGAGCAGAAAGGGGAGAGGCAGGAATGCATTCTCTCTCCTACTCTAGCAGCTTTTCTATGTGCACTTTTTCTCCAGAGTTTTAACAGACTTCATCTCATTATGCTTGGCACTAAAGCTACTGAAGTGGCATGTGTTAACTTTGGCAGCTAAAGTGCAGCTCTCCTAAAAATGTCATTGGTGACACCTTTGCTTCTCTGCTTTCTAGATCAGATGTACTTGCTCGGCAGATTAGCAGTATGTACTTTCTTAGTCCCCCCTCTCTTTTTTAACAATTAATATCTTCAAACAGAGCCTAATGTATGAAAATAAAACTGACTCTCAGGCAAATAAAGATGTTTGCTGCTTAATCTGTGCTCCCATTGAAATAGCTGCAGTTGTGTTACTTTGCATATGTTCTGATCACCAATATCTGCTGAAATCTAACAAATCATTTGTTATGGGAGAAGAATGGAGTCTCACTTGCTTGCAGCTTACGGTGCGGTAGAGCAGAGAGTGTAGGACTCAAGGTTGTGACCATCATTCAGAATATACTTCAGACAACCCAAATGGTGGACTCCTTTCCGTCAACCAGCATGCAGGCCCGTGGCATTACCCTGACAGGCATGTTAGGATTCAGGTGGTAAGACCACTGAACTGGGCTTTCATTGCCTGGGAGCATTGCTGCCCAGCAGAAATTCCCATATTGGAGCCTTGATTTTTGTTTGTTTGTTTTTCCTGTTTGTCATCCAGTATTGGATTTGGCTCTGGAAAAAACAGGTGCAGCTCTCCTTCAATTTGTCAGAAGTTGCATCTGTTTCATAGCAGAGCTGAATTTGGCACCCAAACATCCCTGAGCTTTCCCTGGCATGAATAACTGAGATGCGTGTAGTCACATGCTGAGAATTGTTTCCAGTACGTGTATTGTATTTATTAATTGCCTGCTTAGAAGGATAGGGAAGAAGTCTTATTGATACTCTGTGGGGACATCATTGGCACTATTAGGGAAAAACATGACAGGTATATCTACTTGCTTTCAGATTTTTTCTATATGGGTCATAAAAGATCAGAAGGCAGAGCTGTATGTGAAGAACTGTAGGTTGAAAAATAATGCGGAAATGCATCAACTCTTGTTTATATTTTAACGGATTTTATACAGTTGTTTTTGCAGGTCTCTTACATCATGTTATATATGGAATGGCACCTTTAAGGAATGCTGCCAGAAATGTCTTTTGGTTAAATAAATGTGTGTGCATGTATGTACATATATATGTGTGTATATGAATATATTTTAAGTTAGTAGTGGATCACACTGCCCTTTTGCCTTTAAGTTGTATAATTTAATTTGAAATTGCCATATACATCCCGTCTCACAAACATTCTGAATACTGCTATATAGAAGGTTATATAAGCCATCTTTGGGGAAAAAAAGAGAGACCATTTCAGTAGCTTCAGGTAGCTTCGCTGTCTGCCTTCCCCTGGGTTTCAAAGCACAGAAGAAACATGAATTTAGCTAGGTGACAGGGAGGATCTTGTGAGAAGGAAATGGCTTCTCTCAGAGTCTTTAATTCAGGTACTTCAGAGCACCGGAGTCCATCCATTCCAGCATTAATCTCTGGAGCAATCTTTCTAAGCTTCTGTTTCTGCACCTACTTTTACCGTCTATAAAGTTTGTAAAGGGTGCTTTGCAAGTATAAATTTAAAATGTACTTACACATGAAAGGGTTCTCAGTTCAGCTTTCATATTTGTGAACTTTTGTTCAACTTGTAGTATTCCTCAAGTTGATTAAGTTGTCTTTCCGTTAGTAAGCTATTGTGAGTTTAAACACAGGGGAATCTCTCTGACATTTTAATTCAGATTCCTCTGCAAAAAAAAAGCCGTAGGCTTGCCATCTGGTGAGTTTTGGCCCAATTTCAGATACAAGTGCAGGGCTGATTCACACTGATATTTCAGTGATTCTTCACTGGTTTCTAGAAGGTACACATGGATTTCAACCAGCTGAGATTCTGAACAACAGAGCTGAAGATTTGGCACTTCTTAGATGCTGCCTCATATAAGAAGGCATCTTCCAGAGGTCACAGCACTAGCTGAAGCATCTCATGGAACTTCATTGTCCCTCTGCCAACAAGTTTGTCACCTTCAGTTCCAATCTGAGTGAACCTCGTGGTAGTGCCAACCTGTGGGCAAAGCTAATGGTGATGTGCTCTTGTATATCATGTCTAAGACCTTGTTGGTAATTGGCTTTGGTGTTGGCCACAGGGAATAGATGAAGGACCGGAGGGACTCAAGCTGATCTCCGACATTATTCGTGAGAAGGTGGAGATAGACATCAGTGTGCTCATGGGAGCCAACATTGCCAACGAGGTTGCAGCGGAGAAGTTCTGCGAAACCACAATAGGTAATGTGCCGAGCAACTGAAAGGCTTAAAATATGCTGCTGTGCTCAGAACTGTGCATCCAGTAGTTCACATTTCAGTTTTCAATATGAATCAGCTGTTAGCAGGAACTGCAGCGTTTTTCTTGTCTTAATGTTGAGTTTCTAGAATGTTTACGCTCCCCAAAGTACTGGGAAAGTGCTGGGAAGAGAGGCAGCGTCTCACTAGTCTTACTAGTGAGACTAGCAGACCCTTGCAGGTAAAATACTAAGCATGTTTTTTATCATCCTCCAAATATAAAACTGCTTTATGTTAATACTGTGCTATAGATTTTTCTTTTCTGGGTGCTTAATTGGATAAATGATTATTCCAGCTCAGGTGTTCTAGTCATAGATTTCTATGACTAGAAATCTATATATCTTACTTAAAAAGATATATATCTTACTATATATCTTTCTATATATCTTACTTTAAAAAATACTTTTTTTCCTTTAATCCTTTTTAAATTATTAAAAAACCTATTTCTTCCAAATCCTAGGCACAGTTTTTGCATTGCATTCTTTTTCAATGTTTGAATTGCCATACACAGAAACTTAGCTGCCATTGCCAGTATACTCAGTTAGGAAAATATCCTTCACTTGCCTTTGTCAGCAGATATTTCTCTTGAACGCTGACCTTAAAATAATTGGTAGAAATGTGCCTGTTTTATTTTTAAATTACCTTTGCTTTATTATTAACTTTTTTTTTTAAGGGAAAGGTTTAAAGAAAAGGGAGAATATAATTAATGGAATTTTTTTTTAGACTTTCTTGCTGAACAGACAATGAATTATGAAGAAACCCACAGTTATTCAGTGCAGAGCATTTCAGGGTTATGTAGACACACCCTTAATCATTTAAAACAAGGGAAGCTGTTTGGGATAAAGATAGAACAACCTTATCTCTGCTTTCAAGTATTCTGACTTGCAAAGGAAAGCCAAAATAATACTCAATAAATTATTCATTGCCCTTTTCTTATTCTTCATTTCTCTCTCACAACAGGCAGCAAAATCTTGGAGAATGGCCTTCTCTTCAAAGAACTCCTGCAGACTCCAAACTTCCGAATAACTGTAGTCGATGATGCAGATACTGTTGAGCTTTGTGGTGCTCTGAAGGTAAGATTAATCAGGGTGTGGTTTTGTACACAAATGGAAAAGTGATCCTCACAGAAGCAAGTGGTTATTTTTATCTGTAGGATTACATCTATTGTGTTTTATGTACCATACAAAACAAATTTCTATAAGAGCCAGATGTGAAATTGAGAGCAACATATACTGAGAATTAACATTTAGATCTATATCTTGCAGCTTCCCAAATTCTTTTCCTACATCTTTTACTTAACATGCGTACAGTCACAAAACAAGTATTTGTTTTGTCTAAATGGTCAAAATGGTTCTGAATCTATTTTGGTTATCAAAGGGAAATGGCATTTTTTTTTGTTTATGCCAGAGTAGATTTGCAAAAGAATATTGGGAACAAAGTTGGTACCATATGTCTGTTAACTAGTTTGTTCCCTATTCATTGATTAATTTGACATGAGGACTGCTTCATTTCGTGTTTTGTGGATATATTGCATACATTTTCTATAGGTAACCACACTCAGAAATTGCTTAAAGAGGAAAAAGGTTATTTCGGAGTTAAGCATCTGGACTTCTTTTCCTTAACAATATTGATGCTGCCAGGAAATGAAGCCTAGCTTAAGCATATTCTTATTGATATTTCCTTCAGGTTAATTTATAGGCCATTTGTGAAGAGAAAGTATTAGTAGCTTGGGACTTTGGCCAATAGTGCTGCAGTTCACATTATCTGAATCCTATGATGGAGACCTTTTTCAATGGGTATAGTGGTATAGTTGATAATATAGTTTGCTTTTATTTTTTTTTTTTCTGGATAATTATTTTGCATTATCTTTTTTTTTCTTTCATTGTTTAAATTATGTTAGAATTTTGCTGTTCACTTGCAAAGCTCCTGAGCCAAAGAATGATGCTTTTAACCTAAGGGGTTCTGATTTCTACTCCTATTAATCAGTGGAAGGTAGCTATAATGACATGAATTTTAGCATAATGGCTTTCCAAGTGGTTTTGTGGTGCAAACTGTCATGCTAGATGTTCTGAGTAGGAGATCATGGTCCTGTGAACTGGGCTAATGGACTGTTGGTGTAAAGTGTTTTGGAGTTATTGCATTAGTACTCAGGGCTGTGGAGCTCATAATTTGACTGCACAGCTATTGCTCAAAAATAATATAGTGGTGGTGTGGGAGGTCAGCAGGAGATAAATCCCTGTGTTTAGACCTAAGGGGTTAGTCAGAAAATTTTACAGATTTATTTTTCTTCAAAATCTTCTCAGACTGATGCTTTCTGACTAGCTTGAATTCCTATTGACAGAGGAATTTCATGCCAGTGTTTCTTCCAGAGAAATCTCCTGCATGTAGAGTTAGACTCTTGAAGGGGAGATGAGTAGGCCCATCAAACTCAGGAGTGAGTCAGCAGACACAAGCTCTACTGTAAAAGTCTAAGACAGATAAGAGAATTCCAGATAAGTTGTTCTGGGTCTGGAAAGATAGGCAGATCCATTTGTGTATATTCTTTGTAGCCCTGCTTTGTTCTTCCATCCTACTTCATAATTCCTCTTGGTACTTGCAGAGGGAACTCTCTAGCCTGAAGGAGCCGCATATACTCTATACGCTCTAGGCATTTGGGATTGCTTGCAGTAAATTTTGTCAACTGTGCTGAGGCTTCTAAAGAAGCCCTAAAGAAAAAAAAAGATGAATTAAAGAAGTAGATTGTTTAAAGCTACTGTGGATTTCTTACTTGATTGAAAGGCATGAAGTGGTATAAGTTGGCATAGGTCAGCCATGCTAATATATATGGCTTTTTTTTTCCCAAATATACATCTCAAATCTCATTTCTTTTATTAGACTCTTATTTTTTAAAGTAACTTTTCATTTGAAATCTTTTCTCTTTATCTTAAATATTGTGCTGACACAGTGTAAACAATTCCCTGCGCTGTTTTTAACTCAAATGTTGCTCAATTTTATTACTGCATTGGGAACATGTATAACATTGATGTCAAGCTGTGGATCTGCGTTTGTTTCTAATTGCCTTTTGCAGAGCAAAATGCAAAACTCAAATGTGAATAATAAAAAAAAGAGTTTTTTTTTCTTCTAAACTATACGTGCTTATTAGCAGGAGAATTATTTATTAAATGGTAACAATAAGCATTTTATATGCTCGATCCCTTTTATGTAATTACTTAGGTTATCTTTGTAATAGAAATGCAGGGGAAAAATAAGCATGTTTTCATGTGATCATTTTTAAGGAGAGATCCTAAGTGTAGCTTTCATCAGCTGACAGTTACTTTACGAAACTGAAAAGTTGCTTCATGAAAAATGACAAAATATAGTGGTATTTAATTTACTGAAAGGAGGAAATTTTTATTTCCAGAGAACAACCTTGTTTTGCCTGAAGGGACTGGTACAAAAAGATCTTTTAAAGTGATTTTCTATAGCAATGCATACAGCATTTTAGAAGAACAGCAGTAACGAGCACATATCCCAGTCCAGATTTATTCTTGAATATGGAATTAATAAAAGCAACCCCTGTATTGGTATTTAAACAATGAGAATTATTATACTATGAAAAATTTTCTCCTGGCTTCTGCATTTTCAATAAGTATCATCTTGGGAAAATGAGACTTTTCTGGTATTTCTGTCGTGATACACTAGTGTTTGTTGAACGTCTTAGCTACTTTCACTCCTTATTTCTGCAAGCCACTCAAAGTAGGGAGGATTTCCAGTGTGGTGATTGCCTGAAGTGGTGATTGCCTAAAGGTTGAGAGGGAGAGGAAAAACAAGAGTAAAAGAGGGTGTTTAATGCACAGCTTTTCCTGTTGCTAGTGATATTTTTTTTGAAGCATGTTTAAATTCAGAATATAATAGGTATTGCAGCTGAGTGATCATGAAAGAGCCTGTGCTTTATTGCTCTTCAGAGATACACGTATTCTGAAAATCCTCTTCATTTGCTGTATTTATTTTTTTCTGACAGTGGATAGCTGGTGGAGATGTACTGAGGTACAGAAATTAGAACACTGTTACTGCCAGTCTTGCATCATCTCAGACCCTGAATAGGGAATGGCAGTCATGTTGCAACATCTGATGGTACTGGGGAGAAGAGCTGTCTACAGTAACTTGTTGGCTGTAGGAACTAAAAGGACTTGGCATACTCTTCTCTAACAGGGATTTTATTTTTTTGAGGACTAAAGTACGTTTGGCATTCCTTTCTTGACTTTTTTTTCCAAGGGTTCAAGACATCAAAAATAAATAAAACTTCAAATTTGGATAGTTCAGCTGCAGGGTGGCCAGATGGTTCTACAGACTGCCTGTGAATTCAGCTGCTGTTTGCCAGTGTTGGGGCATTCCTAGAAAGTATCCAATGGTCAAGCACCGCCATAAGAGCTGTATGCTCAGCTCATGTATGGATATGCTCCTGAGTCCTTATGGATGTATCACTCCAGAGTAGCACAGACCCAAATTTATCCCTTTTGAGGTATCTAAGGAGTTTTTAATTCTGTGCCTAAATGTGGACAAACAGCATAGACTGGAGGCAAGACGGAGCTGGTGTGAAACTTGCCATGTGCTTGGGAGGCAGTTTCAGGGTAGCTGCATTCTTATGTGCAAACACTACTGGAATCATTTACCCTTGTAGCTGTGTTCTGGGTGAGTGTGAGGAAAGCAGGAATGAAAACCTAACTGGGGGCCTGGCTCCGGCTGCATGATGCTTTTGTTGAGAGCTGTAGGAGAGTTAAATGTGCCACTGTGGCAGCAGTCAGGATAAAGGCAGAGGGGAAGTTACTGCAGCTGCTGTGGTGCCTTTCCCAGCCAAACTTCAAACCCATCTCTAAATCTTGGTTTTATTGTTTACCAGATTTTATAATCCAGCATTATTATTTACAAAGGTAGCTCTGCAAAGCTTTTTTATGGCAGTCGTTGTTGGCTGGTCAGGGAAGCTACTGAAGAAAAGTTGGTTGTGGTAATTGCAGTGTTCTGAGAGGAAGTGGTAAGGAAATCCATTATTCGTGTTCAAGTTTACCACGAGCAGGCAAACAATTTATGCTGAACTTCTCTGACAGCCCTGCTGATAGTCTTTGATTTGTTGAGTTTCCATTTGACCTCTCTCAGCCACGGGGGAAGCGAGGTGCTCCTCCTGTTCGTGCTGTAAGCAGGAGAGAAAATGGACTGTGCTGGGCTGTGACTGTACTTCCAGGAAGATTGGATGTCCCAGGTCAGTTAGCATCTCTGCTTGGTTCTCTGATCCATTTAATTGTGGAGAGGTAAGGGTGGCCTGAGAAATAGCCTCTGAAGCCATCTGCATGACCACGCCACCAACTTATTGCTGCAAACTGAGAAGGACTGTTAAGTTGGGAATGATGTTCCTGAGCACTGACTCTGGGTGGGAGAATCTGTCAGCAGAGTCTGCGGTCTCAGTAGCCTGCTGGCATCAACTGACCTTGCATGTTTGACCTCTGGCTTGCTTGTACCAGGTCAGCTGCAAAGAAAAGGCAGATTTTCTCCTTAACTCAGAAGCTCTCAGTCCTGCCTGGCAACAACATCTTTTTTATTTCTGGAGTTTAGCATCAATATCCCAGTGATAAAATAACTGAATTCTGTCCTAGCTCTGGAATATTTAGTGCTCAGACTAGCACTGGGTTTTGGATATTAGATTTGCTGAAGTCAAACGTTTTGCAAAATGTTTTAGTAGTTTGAAAACATCTGCAATATCAAAACGACTCAGGTGCCTCTTGCAGGGTGCAGCTCTAATGAAAAAACCTGCTGATGCCAAGATGGGAGAAGTGTATTCGCTCAAGTGTAAAATGGTTTTGAGTGCTCTTAATCCCCCAGGCCAAAGAAGCATTGAGTTGCTTTTATTTTGGTGGTGGATATGATAGTGCTTTTTAACTGTAGAACAACAAGCTTATTTGCAAACTACGATCACTGTTGCTTACAGGCCCCTTGATCTCCAGCCCTGGGTTGTGTGTGCCCAGATAGTCAACATTTGCCTCTTCTCTTGCACAAATGTACACCCATTGCATTTGCAGGAACTCTTGTAACTACAGGTGTAGGCTTTGGCAATGGAAGTGTTCAGCATATTTCTGCCTCACTTTAATAGGAGTACTGATTAAATATTATAGATAGCAGATGGTACTTGAAGCTGACATCTCTTAAATAATTAAATGCATCCTCAGCAGTAGGGTAAGTGAAGTTATTAATGTCAACAATATGAAAAGGATCATTCTTGTTGTGACAGCAGGAGCCTCTAAAAATTTATTTTGACCTTATTAATCCTGGCCAGGTGGTGTGGTATAGTGGGGGCATCAAGAGGAGGGAATGCTCTGTTATTCACAGCTCTACCACTTCCTTTTATAGCTCTGTTGTTCTTCTCTGTAGAATGGAAACAATGATATTATTGTTCCTTGAGAAATACTTTGAAATATAATGCCATGAGGAAGATGTTACTTGTCCTTTAAATCAGAGATGGTGTTAATGTTGAACTTCTGGTTTAAATTCCTGATAGATGGGCTAAAGTTTGTGATGGTTTTGTTTGGGGTTTGGAGTTGAAAGCGGAAAGGGGTGTGGAATCCATCATCTGAGCACTTTGTTTTTTCCCCGATTGAAAACTGACATTTCCTAGTTGTTTATATCTGTTTTAGTGCCATGATCAGTTAATCTTCTTGCAAGAATTATCAAGTGATTCTGCTTGCAAGAATCTTCTTGTAAGAATTATCAAGTGAATTTTATGCAGGAGCCTCATATCTTCTACATAGTCTAGAATAGCAATTCTTAATATTTGGTCTGTGGGAACATGTAAGATTCTGAAAACCTTTTACCCATCTTCCCCTAGGGTGACCAAATGAAACTTGTAATAAAAACTTCCTCATTTTCTCCAAAAGCAACATATTAATGGTTGTTTGGAATCCTCCAAGTTAGAATATTGTATCTTTCCAAGTTAGAATATTTTTAGTATTTGAATTTAGATAAGAATCATCCAATAGTGGAAAGCTACAGGAAAGGACAACTTTTGCTACAGCAAAAAGTGGTTGAAGCTTGCCAGGTTATAGGAGCCAAAAAGAAAATGTTGAGGGGAGCTGTCAAACAGCTTTAAGAAAAGGCAGAGAGATATTATCCTTCTTCAGTTTGACCAACTAGCCAAAACTTGGGGCTTACAGATTGTTTCGCTTGGGAGGAAAAACCGCTAATGTAGTTGCATATCTTGGATCCAGTTGTCTTTGACTTACAAGTGTATCCTGCTTCTCTGGACACAAAGAGATTCAAACAGCTGAAGACATTTGGCCCTGAGATGCAGGAAAATTTGAAGCTGTGCTCCTGGAAGCTCGGGCTGCCACAAACCACTCTCATTTGAAGGACCAAATGAGAGGTGCACTCTCATTTCCCACTTATTGCTCAGAATAAGAGACAGTGACCTGGCACTGCCCAGAGCTCCTGAAGGTCAGAGGAAGGAACTCGCAGGAGCACTTAGGTCCCTGAGGTTGCAGCTGTTAATTGTGCTCTGCAGCTGACTCAAGCACATCTCGCACATGTGCTGACCTGTGCTTGTGCAGGGGGCCTGATATACCTCGGAGGCATGAGATAAAGTAAGGGTGCTTGGGCTAAATGGCAGTGTCATTTCCCCCTCCCTGGTTGCTTCTCGGAGTGTCTCTGCAGTGGCATGAGGCCTGTGCATTTCACTCGTGCATCTTACTGAAAATCAGCTTCATGCCTGCACCCACGGAGATTTAAGGTACCAGGCTGCTTGAGGAGTGTGTTGTTGTGTTTCATTTGGGGCAGACTTGGTCTCAGTTTTGTGAGGTTTCTGTTTCCTTTTGTTTTAAAAGGAGAGACTTCCCCTCGAGTAAGGTGTAGCAGTTGATATGGTAAAATTGAGGTGTCTACAATATGTCAAACAGAATAGAGAGATCTCTAGATTCTTCAAGGATTTAAATGAAACCAGATGGGAAAGCACATAAATATGTAATTGTGGCCTAAGGGTTATGTTGACCAGGATATAATACTCTCCTAGACATGGGTGTGTGTTGTAGTAAGTGTTTCCTCATTATTTGCAATCTGTATGTAAGAACGTACAGTGGGGACATTGTACAAAGAGGAGCTGAGTGCTTCAGAGCTGCATCTCAGCCTCCTTCCCTCCTCACCCCATTTTCTCACAGTAACTGCTCTGCCTCGGACTTGCTTGAAACAGAATTTCCCTTGCTCCAAAGGCAAACGTTGCAGTAGGTAGAAACATAGAGCAAAATGCCTTGGTCCAAATCATGATATGAATTGTGATAGGACAGACTGCTTCAAAAGTGGAAAGGAAAGCCAACAGAGGCAAAGTTGGAGGGAAGAGGGGACTTCATATAGTGCTGGAGTGTTTGAGAAGTGCATGGAAATGTCCAGAGAGTGCTGAGAAACAAGCCTGTTTGCTTTTTTATCCAAGTACTGAGTACTTCAGATACATGCAAGTTCTGGTTAAATGGGTTATCCAAACTGGAAACTTCCTTACCACCATGTGAAAAGATATCATAGGTGATGGCCTGTTGCCCTGGCAAAGATGTCTCATGTAAAACACTTTGCCTGAATCATCAAAGTGCGGATGTAAGTCAGGATGATCTGAAGTGACAGCTTTAAAGGTCCGATCATCTTTTGTTGCCATCATGCCTCATGTCTGCGCTTCTGAGCACCATTTCCAAGGGTCACCTTAGACCTCAGCTGCCTGCTCAGAAAGCTGTGACTCATCCTCTGGCCCCATTTGTGGTCGAGAAGCACTTTGCCATGATCAGCCTCGCTGCACTGCTGCTGCCTGCAGCCTTTGGGTTCCTAATCCAACACAGGGAACAAAACCAGCTGTCCACGGACTTGCTTTCATTAGCAGCTTCCCAGTGCTGCCGCTGTTGCTCCAGCAAGTTACAGTTCAAGGGCTGGTAATGCCCTTGGTTATCCTCTGGCTGAGCTGAGGTTAATGATATAGAAAGATGTTACCTCATCCTTCCTTGTCTGCTCTGCCACGGCCTCACAGTGGCATCTCTTTTGGAGGAGGTTGGGAGCAGGATAGGCGAACTATGGCAAGTCTCTGCCTTCTGGTGGCTTATCTTGTTATCTTTCAGTCAAGAAAACAATTCTTGCAGTTGTTTTGTTCAGAAGTCTCTCAAATGACCTTTTATGTTTGTAAGCCAAAGAAGGGACTGTACAGCTCCTTGGTCTTGGAGAAACAGTACCAACTTTTGAGAGGGGTATAGCCAGGTCTGCCGAGAGAGTCTTTATGTGCTTAGGAAAGTTCTGACTGTGCCGTGAACCTCCAGGGAAACCTCTGTTAATCATTCTGAGTCTAAGAACTGTATCTAAAAGGGAGGAGTGATGTTAAACTAGCTAAATTGAGCCACACAACATGTTAGCATGAAAGTGAACAAACATTTCTCTGATTCAGTCTTGCTTTAATTGCAAAGAAAATAAGGCTCAAGGTTTGAAGTATCAGTGTGGCTCTACTGCTGCCTCTGGAGGGGATTAGCTGAATCGAGACAAACCTTGTTCGGATGCAGTTTCACCTGGTCCTAGCCAATGGTAATAGCTCCACTGCCTGCAGGGCAGCTTCTTCCAAAGCTTTAACGATGCTTTTGTCCTTGAAAATACTTTCCGAATATAAGACTTTATTTATTTTAAGATTATCCCATGAACAGCTGTCTGTGCAGTTCTTAAGGATACGTACATTCTGTTTCATTGGTGTCTTCTGGGAGTCTCTAAACAGTAGCTGACTCATTTCCTATTTGTTTTTTTTTCCCTCTTCTCACTAGAATATAGTGGCAGTAGGAGCTGGGTTTTGTGATGGCCTTCGCTGTGGAGACAACACCAAAGCTGCCGTCATTCGCCTCGGCCTCATGGAGATGATCGCCTTTGCCAGAATCTTCTGCAAAGGACAGGTGTCTACTGCCACCTTCCTGGAGAGCTGCGGCGTTGCCGATCTCATCACAACGTGCTACGGGGGCCGGAATCGCCGGGTGGCAGAAGCATTCGTTAAAACTGGCAAGGTATCTTATCCGCTGGGCACAAAGCCCTTGTTGCGAGCCCTGGCGCTCCTCGTTCCTTGGAGTCATGATATAGTGACCTGAGACGCTAGCTGTGCTTCGTGAGCACCCTTCTTTCTCCTCTCGTTCTTGAGTGTTACAAGGCTGGAATCCATGGAGAGATAGTTTAAAAGGACAGATATTTACAAAAGAGAAAGAGGGGGGAAAAGAATGGGAGATGTGTGAGATTTGGAAACACTAAGGAGACCATTTAAAAGGGTCTCCTGTGCATTTTCAAGCACAAATGACTTATATTTGCTCACTCACCAGCACAGCCTTTCCCACAGTTTGGCTTCTGAGTCGGGAAAATACCCTCCTCAGTAACACCTGTTTTTTTCCATCCAGATTGTAATAAACTATTGTAGCTCTCCTTTTCTTCTTCTTCTTTTCTTATTTTTCCCCTCTGTTATTTAGTCTATTGAAGAATTGGAGCAAGAAATGCTGAATGGTCAGAAACTGCAAGGACCGCAGACTTCTGCAGAAGTGTATCGCATCCTCAAACAGAAAGGAATGGTGGAAAAGTGAGTAAGAACAAACAGAGCAAATTCCTCCTCTCTCTTTTTTATCTTCTTAGCTGCTTTTGCTTTTGTGATCTTGAGATTTTCCTGAAAGTAATGGCCGAAAAGGAAATCACTGTAACACAAGGAGATCAGTCCCCACTTAAAAACACAGGAATAATGAGTAACATTATTAACTAATATTTACTTTAATACACTTCTGTTTGAACTGATAGCATGGTGTTAAAGGAAGCCTTTTTACAAACATGGAGAACGTGCAGTAGCCTCCCCCTGTCATTGACAGGGATAGCAGAATGTGTGAGACATGAAGTGAATAAAATACCTGAAAAGAAACCTGAGCTTCTTAGAGATTGATAAAGGAACCTCTATAGCCTGTTTCATAGTAGTAAATTAATTGCCTGTCTCTAAGGAAGAGGGGGTTTGTTACAGCAATACAGGTAATCTGCTGAATGAAGTGGCTTTGTTCTCTTTCCTTATGTGACTTCCAGTTTGTTATGGGATAAAACTGCCATCTCCTTGTCTAGAGTTTGGGGGGGAAGCATAGGAGGTTGTCCTGCCTTTTTTGTCTTTATTCATTTTAGTCAACATACACGGTTCCTGAAGCCACATACACAGTTGTCCTTTTATGAGATTAAGAGATGCATCTTTTCCTCTTCTCAGATCTATCTGAATTGGAAAAATCAACAACTTCTGAGTCAGAGCACCAACCCCTAATACTTTTTTTCCTTCAAACAGTTTTAAAAGTCTAGTTTTAATGCATCTTCCTTAAATAAAGATAATGTTAGCATTTTCTTCAGGAGTCAGTCCTATCACTGTATTGTATAGTAATTTAGCTATCTGCAAGGGGACTCTTTGCTTTGCTGGTGACTCCTGCTTCTTCCTGAGACATCTCTGCCTGCGAGCAGAGGGATTCCTCAGTGGCGCAATTCAGAGCTGGCTGCAGGCAGCAGAACTGCTTCAGTGCAGCACAGATTGAGAGAGGGGATCACTTTCCCGAGGAAAAGTTCAAAGCTCCTGCTCCAGATCTGTTTTGAATCACTCAACTATTTCAGCATGTCCAAAAAACCTTATATTTTTCTTTCAGTCAAAATAAGTGCTTTTGGCCAGAATGTACGAGTAGATAAAGCCACACTGAAACCGCACATTTGTTTTGGTGGATAGATAATTATCTAAATAGATATTAATAGATAATAGATATTAATAGATAATTAATCCCTAAAATCCACCAAGCTCTGTCTGAAAACTGGACTTGTCTGGTTCTCAGTGTCCAGGCTGAGTGAAGGTCAGAAAATAAATGAAATTTCTGTAAAGTGCCTTGGATGTAATGGCCCTTCATGTTATCAAAGAAGCCTGAATAATGGGGGACTTGTTGGAATGTAGCCAATTTTTTAAAAGGAAAAAAGACTTTGAATTTAGTATTTCAAAATTCATTTTTAATTTTAGACTCTTATCATTAAAAACTTGACCTTCAAATTCTTCCCGTGTCTTTCTCGTATTCTGCAGTTACATTATCAAGTTATTGTTGAGAGATAATATTTAACTGACAGACTGGTCATCTTTTTGTCCATAGATTAGCAGTGCAATAACATTATCAAGGAAAGATTCAAGGGTTTTTTTTTTTTTTTTTCATTACAGAAGTTAATGGCTGTGCTCTACATAATGAATGTCTCTGTTGTATCTAGCTAGGCTTTTGAGAGAGAGATGGATTCTAGGGATGTGTGTAGGCTCTTATTTATCTAGCATTTTTCAACCCAGCGTGAATAAATGACAAATGCAAAGAGAAAATGATTTTTCAGTCTCTTTTTCCTTCTTCCCTTCTGTTTTATTTTATGATATCCTGTTAAATGAGGGAAATAATCTTATGCTGCATTTGCTTCCTCTCCTCTTAGGTTTCCACTCTTCACTGCTGTATATCAAATCTGCTATGAAGGGAAGCCTGTCAAAGAGATGATATCCTGCCTTCAGAGTCACCCCGAGCACATGTAAAATCAATCAGGCCGCTGCAGTAATGCAGCTTTCTGTCTTTCCAATTTATATTTGGGTCCCAGTGGATGTATCCTTAAGCTTCATACAAAGCTGCTCACTAGGCAACTGTAACAACATGAATGTGTCTGAGTGGGTGCAGCGGGGGTTTGGTTTGGTTTTCAGCCCCCTTTAGCATCACGTGTTGCACTGGCTTGGTGACTGGCTAAAACAACAACTGCTTTTAGATAAGCAGCTCGGAACTGGCACGACATACCTGGTGTATCGACACGAGTGCGTACAAGGGTCTACACCTCTGTGATCCAACAATACAAGACACAAGCAACATTGGCTCGTCTCTCATTGAAGCTCCGTCCAAAATCCACTGGACGCAGTGGGAAAAATGCCACCAGTTTCAATGGAGGCTGAATCAAGCCAGTCACCTTGCAGTGTAAGGAGTTTTTCAATTACTGTTCATTTTTATTGTGGATACGTATTGAAGTTTGGATGTTTTGCATGTTTTTATTCTTTTAAGGAATATTAATGGAAACAAGTGGTAGCAGGTGTTCACAAGCCTATAGGGATGTTTTAATGACCTCCATTGAACAGTATCATGATTTTTGGAAGTCTCAAACTATCAGACTATTTGAAAAGCATTTTTAAGTGAATTTGAAGTTTTTAAGTATACTGTTTTAAAGGGATCGCTAGAGGGGGAGCGTTGCTTCCCCTTCTGTTTTTTAATCCTTGCATTTTTTGTATTTCTGCATCTCTTTCTTGTTGTTCTGAGTGGTTACAATCCTCTAGAATCCCAATCCAGAAAAATAAGCAGGAGATTTTGCCTTGGGGCTTTTGAGTCATGGAGCTTAGGGTTTGTCCTAGCGCTATCCGTATGATGGTTCTGTTTTGGTGTGGCTGCCTTGGGGAAGGACACTCCTGGGATATCCACCACTCACAACCCTTACTCTGTCTTTCTAGTTTAGCCCTCAGGCTCGTGGCAGCCCAGGGAGCATTTGGGGTGCCAAGGGCCCCTGCCAAGAGGCCTGGGCGCCCATATGCTGAGCGCAACCCAGTCCCTGCGCGCCTGCTGGGAGCATGGAGAGACAGCAAGTCCTCACACTGCTCTTGTGCTGGGAAAAAATATGTAGAGGGTTCTGGGTCTAGTCTGGTGACCGGCTCTGAAAGTTTCTCAGAGGCCTCTCTGTTATACCCCAGGTACCTCAGTTTGTTTGTTTGTTTTTAGGTACTTTTGCTTTATCAAGAGGGTAAATTTGAATTATTATCAGAGAATCTGTGATGCTCAGTTGTCAGCATCAGGTTGTGATTTTATTTGTTTTTGTTGACTTGATGCAAGAGAAGATTGATGACTCTTTTATCTTGCCTTTCTTTGCCAACAGCAAAGAAAGTATGCAGTTTCTATACTGAACTGTGAACTTCTTGGTTAAATACATGCTAGGCACAGGAAAAGTGGAGTCATACTTGCAGCATGGAGATTCACAGAGCTTAACAGCCTGAACTGAATATCCAGCCCAGACTTCTGAGCACCATCAGAAGCGACTGCCTTCTGCAGTGGTGCTTGTAGGCCAGAAATTGTGAGCACAGACCCTTTCTGAAGCTTTAATGTCTCCTTTGGGACTTGCTAAAACAAAGAGGATGCGTGAGAATAATCATCCGTACTTGAGTAGCTTGGATCACCCTGGAATTAAGTGTCAGGGCAGCTTCATTAAGGCAGGAAGGTGCTTCAGCTCAGGGCTGCCATTTCTTGAGCTCCTGAAGAGTTTTGCAGTAGTTCAGGAAGATCATGTGAATGTTGACAGATATTCAGGGATCCGAAAGGTTATTTTGCCTTATTTTTGCCTTCAGATTTAGTGCTAAATATAACGGCGACGGCCAGAAGTTAAATGTTGTGAGACATTTGTGGGAATCGGGGAAGTAACTGGCACAGCTGACAGGGAGAAGACACTCTGCTTAGGCAAGGGAAAAGGTGTTTGGAGGTTGTTGTAGGTTGTTACACTAACGCACAGGCGGCTCATACACTCCTTGGTACAGCCTAACTCCCTGTGTGTCTGCTTGTGGTTGTCTTTCGTTTTAAATACCAGGCTGTCTGGCTTTGCCTTGTTAGATACACAGACATATACATATGTATAAATGTTTTCTTTTTTACATGCAGTATGTGTTTTGTAACATACATAAAGGGCTCTATAAGCTAAATGTGGTAAATTAATATATATTTTAAGATGATTTCTGTTCTAAGGTTTCCACTGAAACCTTAAAACTTCATTGCTGTTGTTTTGTACAGAAACCTGTTCAGTGGGAAATCGAAAGCAAGGCTTTCTATGTGACTTTGAGTCTATTATGATATTCTTTTCAGACAATAAGTGTTTTCAGTAGCAGCAATAATTTATTTTACTTTCTGTAGATGTTTCACTATTCATTTGTACTGGCTTTTTACTGCTTGAGAACATTCAGCTTGACATTGTATTTTTCCCCACTAATATTTACTACTAATTATGAAACTGTGATATGATACTGGAACTGAATGATTAGGATTCTGTTCTGCAAACCCTCTGTTTTGCCTAATAGTGGCCTGGTCTTTCCCCTGTTGTACGATTTCTTCATCCAAGGTCCTAAATTTGTGACTACTGATCAATTACTGAACGTTAATCACTAAGGAATGGCGTTGTCTTGTAAGGACATGTACTCGACTGGCCCTTGACACGTGTACTTTTTTATTTAAAGCCTGCAAATGGATTCGCATTTGAAAACAAAACATACAAATAAACATTTTGTCTTGGGACTCGCTTTGGGTTCTGTCGTGTCACTTTACCTGGCCTGGAGGTCCTGCCTTATCTGCTTGTGCTGTTTCACAGCTGCTGTTGTGCTGCCCGCGGCCCCGGCTGTGGCGCGGGCGTCAGTGCCCTGTGCACACCTGAAACACCCCCAAAAGCCCCGTACCCCGAAAGTGCTTCATCCATTGAGATCAGTGCCTTAGTTCTTCATTTACAGCTGCTGAGACATAGAAAGGTGGCTGCTCAGCAAACCTGGGAGAGGATGTATTTTGTTCCTAATTTAAGTCTAGAGTTTCAGCCATTACATCATTTCTCATTGTGCTTTTAGTTCAAAATTGTGAGCGTTTATTTTAAGGATGCATGAAATCGACTGGTGAAATAATCAGCTGGTATTGAGACAGAGAATCCAAATGCAAAAGGTTTTTTTAATTCTAGTGAATCTGTGTAAATAGGAAGGTAAAAACCACTCCAAGGACTAGGCTGGATTTGGATTATTATCAGAAAGTAACACAAAGGCTGGCTCCAGAAAATTGGAAATGTAGACAGAAAAAAAAGTTGGTTTCAAGTGCCCTGAACTGTTGCTTGTTCCTAATGCTCCCAGGCTGGATTTTGTTGTAAGACAGGACATAGATGCATAAATTATCCAAGTTAATGGATATCACAAGTGCTGATTGATGCCGAAATAAAACATCCCTATGAAAGAGGCAGTGCTTGGTGTTACTGGAAGGTGTCAGAACATCCCTGTTGCGGATCTGTGGGCCACACTGAGGGCTTCTCCAGTGGTTTGCCTCAAGCTCGTGGAAATCTGAGCATGAGAGGATCACATTTCTGGTTGAGTAATGGATGGGAAGAGGATCTGCTCTCAATCCCGGCGCGTGCACGGGGAGGTGTGTGTGTTTGCTCGCACAGAACGAATCTTAGTTCTCTCTATCTGCTCTACCTTGGTGTCGCAGTCCCGCCAGTCTGCCCTGAGAAAGGGCAGCCTCTCAAATACTCCCTGTCAGTCGAGTTCTGCTTTATGGAAAGCAATTGCAGAACTGCTGATTTCCTGGAGCAATGAGTGGGGTGACACCTTGCAAAAAGGCATCTCTGCCAGAGCTGCCCATGTCTAAATTGGATCTACCTAATAGTAACTAGATTTTTGCTTATTATTATGAGCAATATCTGGTTTAGAAAGATGTTGTGAAGAGCAGCCATAGAAGCATTGGGAAGAGCATGTTTATTCTAAGCTACTGGAAACAAAGAATTGCCCTTTAAGGGAGCCTGTGCAGTCAGGATTGGGGAGTGCTAAATTAACCACAGCTGTGGCCCACGAGCAGTCCTCATTGTCCAGGCGGGTGATGCCTGGTCATTATAACCCATCATACACCGTCTACTAGCGCTGCTTGTTGTCACCACACTGGCTACGTCCTTCCCCTGAGCTGCCTGGGAGCCTCCCAGCGTCTTCCTCCCTAGGATTTTCCGCAGAGCTCCTCCAGCTCCGCTGTCTTCCCTGGGTGGCTGCACCTCTGTTTTGCAGTGTCTGCTGAAGGCTCTTCCAAGTGGAGGCGGCGTGTGCCCGCGCGTGCACCCAGGCACTCACCCGGGTGAGTGCAGCCGTGCCCGTCTTACTGGAGCTCTGTGCACAGCGAGGACTCCTTGGGGGCAACGGGGAGCTCTGAATTTTGCCTGGGTTGGGTTTCTTTGTGTGTGTGTGTGTGTTTTTTTTTTTTTTCTTCTTTTTCCCACTTTCTGATTAAGCACTGGCACTGTTTGGGGGGAGAGTATTGCATGCACACTACAGGTCACCAAAGCTCCAAAATGCCACATTTGTGGAAATAGAATATATTCCAAGTTTAAGCAACAAGAGTAATGGCAGTAGTTGAACTAGGTTGCTCTCTCTTTCTCCAAAGCCACATTTTTTCCAAACCCCACTTCAAAATAGGCAAATATCACATCATATTCTTCCTCATAGAAACATACTGCAGCTTCTGGGGTGATTTATTTTTTCCTGAACATACTGTGTTTTGAGGACTCTACCGATCCCATCAGTATCTTGCAGTTAGGTGAATACTAAGCGCAGGCCTGCGTGAGCTCCCAAAGCTGGCAGGGACCGTCAGGTTGTTTTGTGTTTCTGAAGGGCAGAGGGAACTGGAAAGCAAGGCCAATCTGTTAGGAAGTGCTGGCAGGGTTCCTCATCTGTGTGAATAATAGTACAGAGACATTTATGAATCATTGCAGAATATTTAAAATGCACGGAATATTTAAAATGCAAACCCTAAATCCAAAAGCACTTGCCACAGAGCTTCTTGGTAACCATAGGACTTTTTTTCTTGCATTTTCTTGCTATTTTGGTTTATCAAAAATGACAAAAGCTCAGGTCTTCTTCCAGACATTACCTTAGTGAATTAGCAGCTGTTCAGGCTGCTTTAAGCCTCTAGAATAGGTGACTGCACAAAACCCATGGTAGCTAGCAAGGATGTTCGTGGCTTTCACCCACCCAGAAGCCTTAAGCTTCCTAACAAAAGCTACTTCATTTGATGCTGGTGTATTCCTGCCCTCGATCCGCGGCATCCCATACCTCGTGCTTGCTGAAGTTATTTACAAACTCATCCAAAGAATTACTTTTCTCACACTTGCTCCCTGATTTAACCATTCTTGCACATTATTTACAAACTTCCTCTAAAAGTTGTAATCCAGCTGCTTCTAACCCTTTGGCAGGGGAATATGCAGTTATCCAGCATGGCATTTTTCAGATGTGGCTTTTTTTCCAAAGTATTGAAAAGTTGTATTACAACAAGGGCCACGGTTGGCTTCATGGTGCGTCCTTTCTGAAAGCAGCTCCTCCAGACCAGGGTCGGAGCTGCGTCAGAGCAGAGCGGGTTGCCACCCTACAGATGCACTGCTGCCACTGTAACTTGCATGTGTTACGTGCAGGAGAGGAGGGAACAGATACCAAAATGCTGCACTAATTGGAGACTTGGGAGGGAGCAAGGGAAAGTTCTAATGAGTGCTGGCAATGCAGGAACATGCACTGAAATACAGGAGCGGGGACCAAGCTGTGGGAGAGCTGGCTCTAGCGCTGGCAGCGTTTCACAGTAACAACGTGACGCTGTAATTTTCACTTCAAAACTAAAACCTGAGAAACGTCTCCTCGGAGAACGTAGCTATTGCTCAAGAGCATGAGAGATTTCACAAGCACACTTGATATATCAAAATGCCCTTTGAAATAACAGCTGCTGTTGAAGTTCCTGCCCCCTTCAATGCATCACTCTCCAAGATACAGAGAACTCTTGAGATAGAGGAATGTGCTGACCATGCAGTCTGGACAGGTTGCGAACAGAAATACGCAGCGGCATCACGAGAGGTCAGAAAAATGTAGCTCTCCTCCAGCACAAGGCCAGCGTGGCCACTTTCCTCATTGCTATTGTAATCCATCCTCATGTGAGAAGCAGTAAGCAGGATTTCTAAATTATTGCATGCTATAATCATGGGAACATGCGAAATGCTTTCTAGGAACTGGTGACGTAGACAGAATGAGTTGTGTTTGTTCTGCACAGTATTCTTGGGCTTAAGCAGTCACAACCTTTTCGTGACATAGTTGTCGTGACATCGCCCTTCAAAGAAACAACATTCAGGTTTGATGGATGACCTTCATTCACCCACATTCACACAGTTTGGTCCCCAAGTTTCTGACTGAATCCTTGTGAGGAGGATGAATAATGAATTACTTGGCTGGTTATTCTGAGAACCACAGTGATTTTGTCAAGTGGTATATTCTGTAATTATTTCATTGAATAATTCTCTGAATTCAGGAGACAATATTTTAATCATACATACACACATGTGTGTCTATGTATATATACAAACATACCTCAGTACATCAGAAATTCATATAAATATATATATAAATATATGAAAGATTTGAGGAGCCTTCTAAGGACACTAAGGAGATGTAAATTAAGCTGTCACACTATTTGTTCCCATATTTTTTCATATCTTTTAACCTGTTGATCAGTTTTAACTAAATTTGACCAAAGGAAAGAGTATTCAAATATGTCAAATTATAATGTAATGTATGTATGTATATGAAAATGTCAAGAAAAATGTCATAATTGAGGATGGCTTTTTAGAGAAAAGTTACACCAAAAAGACCTCACAAGTGCCCCCCATGCCACAAAAGGAGCCTGAGCTTTCTTGGAGACTAAGGCCAGTCAGCTTCAAAGGCCACAGGACAGGAAGCTTCTTAATAGTGGGGCTTATGGGGATGTTTATGTTGTAACAGATTTCATGAGTCAAAATTGTCTCATATTCAACATTAAGGCAGCCGTTCACAAAGATATGAGGGAATTAATTCTCTCTCCTGTTAGTAAGGAGGACTATATCCATTTTGGAGCATCCTCTCTACTCCTGACCTAATACTGCAATCCATAGGGCAGTGCCAATTCATATGACTTAAAGACCCCAGGAATGAGGTTTTCTTCATTAGAAAGGCTGTCTTTTCGCTCTACTATGAGCAATTAGTAAAATCTTTCCTAAAATGTTTTTCAAAGAGCTTGGACAGCCTTAACCCCCATCAACTCTTTTCCTAGCCCCCTAAAATTCCCAAAAGAAAACCTTCCTTTCCTCGCCCCAGATTCCCTTTTCCTGCATTGATCTAAGGAAGCCACTCATTATTCCGCTCGGGGCTAGTCAGGAGGCTGATAAATGAGTGGGCAGGACAAGCTGTCTCAAGCCCTTGTCCTCAGGACACGCCGAGCCCCCTCGAAAGGCAGAACTGCAGCCCCCGCCGTCTCTGCAGGCATTTCTAGGTGGTCCAAAAGCCAGCAATTGTCCAAGAAGATTAAATGGAATGAGAAATCTGACAAAATTAGTTTTCCTGATTCCTTTGGGCATCAAGGGGAAAAAAAAAAAGAAAAAAAGAAAAGAGAAACACACACAAACAGCATCTGTTACTAGACTGCCATATAAAGAACTCATACTGTGCCCCAAAATACACAACCGTAATTGAAAAAACCCTCCCTCTTCTATTTACCTGCCAGGATTGCTGATTCCTGGCTCCCATTTCCCACGCAAGAGTTGCTTTCAGCAGCCTAAAACAGCAGGATGGACAGAGTGTCCTGCCTTGCTGCACCTGTTTTTTCATTAACTTCTCTCGGTGGTGGTGTGCTGTGCTCCGGGGCTGCGGCTGCTTTATGAGTACACAGAGCAGGGTCACTTTGCTCCCCGTCTCTCGAGGCGAGCTGGCGCTGGCCTGCTGCAAGGGCGAATGCTGATTCGCACGTTGATAGCGTCTCCGCCGCACGTTACGGCCTCCGGTCTGCGCCTCTGTTGACTTTCTGCTGCCAGGATGAGGAGCTGGATAGAACAGCCAAGGGGCCGCCTGTGTTTCCCGGCCTCTGGCTCCTCACTCCCGTGGCGGGTTAGCCAAGGTTTAGGTGGGCTCCTTCCAGCTTCCAGCTCTCCTCTCAGTCCCCTAGGAGCAGCATTTGCACCCTTCCCGAGTCTCTCAGATCTTGGAGAACTGATCTTTCCTACCTGGAATTTTTTGTTCCACTGGATGAGGATTTTCTGCTCTTAGGCCTCCTGCATAGACTCCTGCTTTGCTCAGAGGAGTTACTTTCCTTAGCCTACCTGTTGGTTAGGAGCCAGAAAAATCTGTCTGCACTTCTGTTAGCTCTTCATGACAAGGACTCCATGTGCTCAGCTGCTGCTGCATGAACACTGTGTAGCTGGGCGACTGGAGCATAGCAATGCCACAAACTCGTGGGATTAATTGGAACTCATTAATTGTGTGGTTCCTCCCACCACTTCGGGGTGATCCCTTGTCATCTTCTGTAGAGAATGACATAACATCTGCCCACATAAACCTGGAAAAGGGTGCATTTTAAACAAATCCAGTCTTGAACGACAGCTTTCTGATGCTGGAGAGCTCACCACTTTTCATAAGAAGATGTCCAAATAGCTACCTATGCTATTTAAAAAAAAAAATATGGGCTTAAGGGGGAAAAAAAAGCCCTATTTTGTCCAGCCATAGTGTCTGTTGGGGTTTTTGTCTGCCAACAACTGCTTATCTTCTCTCTCTGTGTCTACACACAGAGCAAGATCAAGCCAGCTCTTAGTTCAGCATAACAGATTGCACACTTTGGGTCTCAGACAAGTTTCAGGTTTCATGTCAACCACAGCGATGACAAGCTAGCTGTCCATAAATAAAGCCTGCAACCAGGTTGGTGCTAAAGCTATGAGGTGACTGGAAACCCTGTCCCCAAACACTGATGATCCTGTGGTGAAACCATGGTGGAATTTTTGTTATCTAAAAGCAAAGATGGCACCGACAGCTATTGAAGGTGCTCTTTTCCCCCAGCCGTTTTGCACGGGGCTTGGCTGCTGTGTAAACATTCCCTGCTATGATTTATATAAACACTTAAGCAAGCCCCATCCTCACTGAATAGAAAACATGCAAGTGCTCGGTGCAAACATTTGCATTCTCTCTACAGGGCAGTATAATGTCCTTAGCGTAGTCCCCACCACCAAGCAGTTTGCTTAGTGTCATAATAATGAGTTTAAATATATATATATATTGCAAGTTGGTATGTTGCTGTTCACAGCCTGAAATTGTTCTTTACAAGGCAGTATGTGTGCTCTAAGACAGCTGTTCGGTAGATGAAATGTCCCAGTGTCTGCAGTCACGGCTCTATCCATACCATTTAAACAACCTTCATGTAAAGAAAGAAATAGTTTGGAGAAAAAGAGTATGGAGCATAAACAGCTCATTTTGCACTTTCCAGCATTAGGATAGGAACTTGTGTGCCTGGTGATCAGATCTGACTAATGCAATTCCATTTCTCAGACCACATTTTCCAAAAGTAGTGATTTCAGGCTCATTTATTTTGAGTTACCCAAACTGAAAAGTCTGACTTTCAGTAACCCTGCACAGAAACCCAGATCCTTCCACAACTTTGGAGAATAAAACAATCTGTTTGAAAATACGGGCCTCTCATCTATGCTCCTCCTGTTGCCACAGACATTGGAAGACCCATGTATTTCAGCCATTACAACTACCTTTACTTTACAAAGTACTTGGTTTGTACAAGGAGTCATTTGTCTCAACTGATCAACAAATCAAGTTTAAAGCATAAGTCACTACTAAAGTACAAATCAGGTATTTCTGGTTCAGGTTAGTACCAATCATTTTTTCTTGATTGCTTTATTCTAGTTTAATGTTAGTATAGTCAGGTAAATTGCTGAAGAGTAATATATTTTATTATTTGCTCTAAATATGTTTGTAGTTCAAAGGCCACACTATGCAGATTCCAAAAAGCCATCAGGATTTTTTTTTTCAGCTTTTAACATCTCACCCTCAGATTAGCAAAGGGAGGTGTCAAAGCGGGGAATATTTGGCCCTGACATCTCACTCCTATCCATATCCCTAACATAAGATCTAGGTTCCACCGCAAATATAATTCCTTTCTTCAGGATAAGTTCACTGATCACTCCTAAATAGTTTTAAAACATCAGCTCTTGCTGTTGGCTGCAATCTGCTTATGCCCTCCTCAAAAAATTCAAACACTATTTTATATTTTTTATATTTTTATATATAAAATGTATTTTTATATATTTTTACTTGTTTTATTTAGCTAAAAATAGTCTGAATTGGGTTAATGTTTGAGAATTCCAGGGTTTGGGAGGAAGGAGGAGGGGAGCTATATTCCAAAAACAGAAAAACACTTCAGGAGTCTCAAGGCAGTTCTGCTCCGTGGTCGACTTCAGTCAGCTCTGCCAGGTTGCTGCTGGTGAGGCAGTTCCAGAGAGCTGAATAAGAGCCCCACAAAATAATGATCCCTCAAGATATTAGGACCAAAGTAGGCGAAAGGGAAGAATCTGTTATCTGTTAATCAGGACAGATCGGGACATTTCAGAAAAAAAAATCCCTTAGAAACATGGTAATTTTTGAATCTGCTATTTTGTTTTTACCCAAACACCTAAATTGAAAGGCTTCAACACTTTGAATTCTTTTCTGTTTCTAATCCCACTTTACCCCACAATGAGATGAATCTTGGACAAAGACAAGTCGGTATCTTGACTGATGTTTGAAAGCCTCCCCCAGTCCTTCCTTTGAAAGGTTAATTTAAAATCCAGAAAATAGGCCCCCTTCTTCTCTGCTGGTACCTTTGTAATAAAGGGTTGATTGTTCAGGCGGTGGCAGTCAATTATTTTGCTTTTGATGCTATCTACATGTAAGAAAATAGAGCCAGGCTCAGATGTTCCCTGAAGGCTTTTCAGTTCTAGTCTTCAGAGCGAGGATGCAAAACAAAGCAAAATAAAAAAAGAGCCACAAAGTTAACATTCAAAATGGAAACTATTGCAGTGCCACTTTAAAGAACGAAATGTCTTCCCTGGAAGGGGAGCAATTTAGAAAAACTTTTAGAGTGTTTACCCTTTCTCAGTGAAATTAATCCCTAGAGTGTGTGTGCTGCAGAAAAATGTGCGGTGCAAGGAGGTCACAGGGGCAACCAGCGTGCAGAGAAGTCACCCAGAAACGTAGGCACCCAGTCCTACGCAAATATAACACAAATATAAAATAAACACAAATATAAAAAACACCTACACTGAAAGATTTTAATAGCTGTAAAACAGTTACAGTTCTCCTGAGGACTCGGGATGCTCCAAGGAGGGATGTATATTCCAAAAGCAATAGCATTTATTGGTCAGGTTTGTGATGGATGGAAGGACAAGTGACCTCAAGACGTTTAGGGGGCGAAATAAGATGCAGTTTTAGCACCATGCATGAAAGCTAAGCCCACTGAATAAGCTCCCGGAAACTCAGCCATATGGAATAATATAAATTCAATGGAAAATATATCAGCTCCTAAAGGGAAGTGATATGAAAGACTTGAGCCATTCTGAACTTTTCTGTGGTTCCTAGAAGAGTTTTGTCCCCACACTGCAGACTGTGTAGGTGGGAAGCCGTGCAGGGCTAAGGGGCGTTCAGAGGAGAAGAGCGACGCTGCCCGGGTGGCTTCTCCCAGGGACGCAGCAGCAGGAGGATCTCGGGGCCGCTCTGGCCGGAGCTTGAAGGAAAAGGCGGCCGTGCGGAGCCGTCACACCCGGCACTTCTTGTATTTGCAAGCCAGGTGACGCGGGTCTCTAAATCACTGTGCAGATGTGCTCGTTTCCTCTAAAACATCAGGGAAAAAAAAAAAAAAAAAAAAGGAATGCAGCCAACATGGAATGCTGGTAACCACACAAGCTTCAAAAACGGTGAGAAGTGTGACCTGGGAGGTGTGCGGTCGGGTGTTTGCGTGTGTGGTTTGCTCACGGTCCCGTTTGTTCCCTCGTGAGCAGGGAAAGCGAGCGCGGGTCGCCTCAAGCGAGCAGGGGGCTGCCGCGGGCGGGCGGGCGGGGACGCCCCGGCGCCGTCACCCCGCGCGGCCACGCCGCGCCCCGCGCTCTCTGACTCTTTCCTCCTTGTTTTCCATTCATTTCGGTGGAGCAGCCCCGGCGCACGGCGGCCGCTCCGGGGCGCCTCAGGCGGCGCGGGCCCTTCCCGCGCTGCGGCGCGGGGGGCGGAGCTTCCCGC